TAATTATATCTCTTATTAACTTGTGTAACTTAGCCTTTTATGTGCATAGCTGAAATGTGTAACTTAGCCTTTTATGTGCATAGCTGAAAGGCTATGCACATGAAAGGCTATTCTTCATGTGTATAGCTGAAAGATTATACACATGCAGAATTTTCAGAAGGCTTTGCACATGCAGAATCTTTGGCTTCGTAAGTATTTCGTGCATATTTTTTCCTTTTACTTTTAACAACTAATTTTAAGTTTTAAGACTAAAAAGTTAATAATAACACGTTATAAGTACTAAAGGTCAGAAAGTTGTTTTAATTTTAAAATAAAAACTTGCATTAATGGAAATATTTGAACATGAGGAATCGACAGTAAAGCTTTTGAATCGACATTGACTTTATCGATCATAAGGAATTCGAATATAATAATAAAATAGCTATTCGAAAAACGCACAGTGAAAGTCGACAAATATTTAAACGTTTTTTTAAAAACAATGTAAAATGATTCATTTTTTTAAAGAAAAAGCACATATCTGTTCAATATGCATGCAAATTCATAGTTTGGCTTATCCGTGTTTTTCAATTATCCGTCACTTGGCTTTCCCAGCATTAGCCCAGATAATCGAGAGCATGTTGTAATAAGATAATAGATTAGTTAACATAAACTATACACAATGTGGAATTAAAAAAATAGCTTCTTTTAAATGTGGCAGAAATAATTTCTTTTGATGATCCATTGAGTAGTATTTATGTCTTGAACATCTTAAATCTTAATTTTGGAATGATTTAAAAATCCGCGTCGCCTTGTCTTTCATAATTAATAATTTAACAGTCTATAAATTTAAATAAAAGACTGCAGTTCGTTTTAACTCTTTATTTCTGAGTAATTGAATAATAATTAATTGAAATAAAAGCTTCAATAAGGTAACAGTCTAATAGAAAACGTTCAACTGAAAAAGCAAATTTAAGAAAATTCTTTTTGAGACTTGACAGTGTCTCTAATCAAAAGGGTGCCAGAGAATGGTCGTGCCTGTTTTCTAAAGAAAGGCCCGACATGTTATTCCTGTACGTAATTTTATGTAATAAGAAAAATAGAAATGGAAAAAAAAAAAAAAAAAAAAAAAAAAAAAAAAAAGATAATAAAATAAAAATAAAAAAATTCTGGGTAAAATTAATTTAGTAATAATAGTAAAAGAAAGAAAAGAAAATCTGAATTGTTTCAGATTTTAAATTACGTCCAAAGGGGCGTTTTTTTAACATTTTGTGTGTTACATTTATTTATTAAATATTACGTTCTTCGCTTAAACCATAAAATTCAGTTCAACAGCAATATCGCAAAATAGTCTTAAAATGAGCATATCCTTTAGAATTTCCGATACAGAGACTCACGCGCTGGGGAAAAATGTTTTTTCTGTTTCTGTCTCGAGATCTGTCTGAAAAATTCGTTAAAGTTTTAGAAACTAGGAAATCGATAATAAAACAAATTCCAAATTTCAAATTTGGGCTTCCAGATGCCCATAAACACAGGAGGATCACGTTATTCAAAATTAGATGGCTTCTAGGTACCGTTGTTGTATCATAGTGCGAGGAACATACATACATTCACGCATATTTTTCATTATTTAATGTCTTTAAATATAATACAGGGTATATATTTAAAGACATTAAATAATATATTTGGTGGCAACAATTTGAAAAGTGATTCGCCGTTTGTAGTGAATTGACGCCAAAGCGCAAAACGAAAACAATAGTCCTTCAGGTACAAAGCCCCTTTGGACTAAAAATAAAAAATTATGAAAGGATTTAGATTTTAACTGTCTTCCAAGAGGGTTCTTTCAAAATAAAATATGGTTTATCAGTAGAGATGGCTCATGTGGAAGAGTGAACCATTTTATAGGATACCAGACGAATATGCATTTAGAGTGACACGAAAACGTTCTGTATCTTCTGTGTATCTGAAAAGTGAAAAAGTGTAAAACGTCATTCTGTAAAATCATTGAATATTTTTTATTAAATAGATTATACCTCGGCCTAACTAATTTTAGAACTCTGCAAGCGTCTTTGTTATTATAAGATTAAAGTGCTTCTTAACTTAATTATTGAAATATTTATCTAAAAAAATCTATTTTCAGGCGAAGACTGACTGATGAGGAACAGAAGAATGAGAGAAGCAATATTTAGAGAAGCCGTTATTCACGAAATATTTTGTCTTTTCCCAATCATGGCAGACCTTAAGTTTAGAAGATATTTGGGAACTCTCAGCGTATACTGGAGATCCATTCCCGATGCCTACATATCGTATCCAGAGATGAAACGTCTGCTAATTAGATACATCCAACCCACTGCCTGTAAAATATATGTCTGAATCATTTCAAGAATGTGGCTTCGACGGTTTCAGTGATATCCCTGGGGCAAGAAGTCTCAAACATTTTTGCCGCTGTGTAATCAGGGATGAAATTGTTTGCAACTCACAACTACCAGAAGGAATCGAATATCTAGGTTTGCCTTCTAGATTAGAGTCCTTCATCAGGCTGGAATTTTAATTTTTTACCTATCGGGATATATCTTTATTTTTTCAGACGTCTAAAATGACAAAGAGAAATTGTTTCTTTCGATACATCTTTTGTAAATAAATTTTTTCTATTCTCTGCGATTAAATAACGAAAAGTCAGTATGTATGTAAGTTCCTCGCGTTTTGGTAAAACGGTGGTATCTGAAGTTACTCAATGTGAAGCATGCGTTGTCGTCCTCCCAAACATGTGCACTTCGAAGCCTGTATTTCGAATTTCCGATTTTTTAAAAATTATATCATATTTTATGAGAATTTATGGAAATTTTGATTAACAAACACAGCGATTTAAAAACTCTGTGATGCCACTCGGGAAAGTGCAAGATATTTATGTTCCAAATTTAATCACAAAACTATCAATTATAAAAAAAATTGTTGCCTCTCGGCAAAATGCGATAAATATTTGTCTTTCGATTTGAATTTGTCGATTTGAATCCACAAACTCGAAGATCTAAAAGAAATGTGTTGACACTCCCTGAATTAAAATGCTTTTATATTCGATCCGACAGTGTGTTGTCGGCAAAGGGTAATAAGATATTCAAATTTCCTTTCAAATTTATTATGCTATTAATTGGCAAACTGATTTAAAAGCAATAAACACGATTCGTTTCAACAATTTTTAGCTACAAGTTGGGCCCAAAAAATTACGTTAGCTGGATTCATTAAAATCATTATACATATTTTTCTTTTTTATAACTATTTCAGGCGAGTAGACGCGCAAGCGGCTAGTGTAATAAGTAAACAGGCTTAGAAATCGATTTATTGTTTCGAAGTTCAGTAGATGTGTAAGGTAAAGGTAATTTCTTATTTTTGTCAAATACAAGCGCTATTGTCATTTTCTTGCAATATTCTTTGCAAGTAACTAGTTATAAAGAATCATATATTCTAAAATCTCTTTACATGTTAAGAGTTTTGCGATTGCAAGAAAATGCAGTCGTTGGTGCTATTTTCTTGCAATATTGTTTGCTTTAAATAACTAGTTATAAAGGTTCATATATTCTAAAATCTCTTTATATGTTTAAGCTAAGTTGAGAAGAGTAATTTCAAAAATGGATTAAGTTATAATTAAAACTTATGGTATGTGAACTCAGGGGGAGGATCTGTTTAAAATAGAATTAAAAGAAAGATCTTTTCTTCTTCTTAAAAGACAAAAATTTCACAGTTTCGTTTAATCCTTCTTTGAAAGAAATTACTTTTTCCAAATTTGAAATAAATGTAGTAGTATCATGAGCAAACAGATTTGCTTCATAAAAAAAGATAAACTTCCTATTTTAGAGTTTCTGAGAAGAATAAAAATATATTTTCTGTCATATATTATTTTTTAACTGCCTTTGAATTTATGTGTAGTTGCAAGTAAGTATTCTGTCTGGTACAAAATGCTACCACCTTTTAAACTTCTTTTCTGAAAACATATTTTAAATATTCATCTCATGTCAGACTATTTTTTAAGACTGTTTTCTTAGGGACCATTCGCACGATGGCTAAGCCTTCATTATTTAAATCCGTTCACGTCTATGGGACAGAGTTTAAGTCGTAACCAGTCAGTCAACGTAAAGCTGCGCATGCGTAAATATGTAGTTTACTCAGCGAAACAACCGATCGAATGTTTTCTTCGTTGTGATCGGTAGGTTCTTTTATCAAGCTGTTATAAAGCCGAAAGTACTTAGACTAAATTGGTATAAAGCAGAATATTAAGACACAATTCATGTACTAAAGCCCTTGTTTGACTGAAACCTTTACCTGTCTTAAAAAGGAGTCCAGTCTTCTTGATAATATTGCTTTACTAAAATGCTCACTTTACTTTCCTGTTTTCCTCTTTTTGTGCTAACACGTGCTGCTGATCGCTCCGCTTCACCCGTTGTGTAAAGACGTGACAAGTTATATAAAATTGCGCGGTGCCTATCGTATCCATAATGATGATTATGTGCCTGTTTATGCTTATGAAGGCTTGTTTTATCACGAAATAAAACTATGTTGGGTCTACTGCTAAGTATTTTCTTTACCGTTATGTCTAAGCTTATGTATCTACTCAGCTGTCTTCTAATCATCCGGATATCTGCAGAATTATTACATTTAATAGGAATTATTACCTATGTATAGATACAGAATTTCAATTTTATTCTGGATTCTGTATCGTACAAAGAAAGTAGAATTACAAATATTTTTATCGACCAATTATAGGTTATTAGAAATATATTTATGTATTATGTTTACCAAAGTATTATAGTAAAAAGTATGTATTTACGTTTATTGTCGTGTAAAATAAAATATGTTACAAAATATTGTTAACGCTCACTTAAAACACATTTTAAATAGTTAATTCAAGTGACGTATTTTTATAATAGTGAATAGAGATCTTTTTGAGGCGTTAAAAATATCCAGAAAGGTGACTGCAGTAAAAGTTTATTTGTTGCAATAAAACACACGCAGACTAAAATAATCCATTCCAAATTTTTATTTATACAAGATTAGAAATTAGGGGTAGAAAAAAGAATGTTCTACCAATATAGAGGCTATAATTCTAATCTCATGTACGACTTTAGTTGGCTCGGCAAATCTAGAAGCTCAAGCCCTTTTGGCAGTACTGAATTACGACTCAGCTCATCTCTGATTGTGCATCGAGTGTAGTGCAAAAGACTCCTTGGTTGAAAAATGCCATCCTCATCTGGCAACCACGAATTGCGAGTCAGTAGATCTCTAACTATGTCCTGGGTATAGTTTCTCGGTAACATCAGCTGAGGAAAGGCGTTCTCATGTTCTTCTGCCAGTCGTGAGTAATGAGATAGTGCAGATCTGACCGCATCTTGGATCATGCGCGCAACATTATCAAAAGCGCTCTCAGGTTCTATTAACTGTGAGTTTTGAGTCGACGCATCCTTGACCGCACATCGGAAAGAATTTAACGCCAGACTCTCCTGAAGAAGGCCGTCCTCAGGATCTTGTAGAAGCTGTGGATTGCGATTCAGAATATATTCCAACGTCTCTTTTGAGCAAGGCATTGAATTCTTCAATTCAGGCATTGCAGGGAAGTTACCAAAACCACGTTTCTGGAATTCATGACAGACATCATGCACAAGTTCGTCATTGTCGATGTCTATGAATCTGTGGAGGGTATGTCTCATTTCGGCGAAGGATATGCAGGGATATGGAATAGATCTCCAGATGTAGCAGAGACTCTGGAAATAAGACGCAAATTGCTCATCGTCCCAGTAAACGAAGAGAAAGAATATTTCGAAAATGAAAGCTTCTCTTCTGCCTATTTGCTTGCAATGAACCAAAGATAAAATGATGGACTGGAAGAGTGCTTTACGGATTTGCCTGAAACGAGACATGATTACAGTAAGATAACTATGGATAAACCATCCCGTCAAATTCAAGGAATGTGAATTTTAAAAGTGAACATATTCAGAACTCTTAATAAGACCACATATTTTGAGAAAGAGGGAGGAAAGATTGTATATCTATTCTAAAATTCTAGAAATATTATCATCTGTCTCCTTCTGACGCTACAGAACTGAAAAATCATTAGTAAACGTAAGTTTTTTTTTTTTTCCTTTTCGCGGCTTATTTACAAGGGAATTAGTATATCGACGGAAAAGACTCGCTGTTGAAACTGAAAATGCCTGGGATGGACATGCTTAGAGCAGAGTTTCCCGAATACGTGTACTATACTTTAAGGTTCTTTAATACATTAACTCCATTGTCGAAGGCATCGAAACAGGAAAGATTTCTAATAATTAGTAGTCTGAAAGGACTTATGAGCCAATAGAACAGAAATAAATGAATATATAAAAACAGATAACAAATAAAAAATTATAAATATATGAAATAATTAATTAAAAAGTAAAAATAAATAAAATAAATAAGTTACAAAAATGAATTAGCGTGTACATATAGCAGTGCAGTTACATAAATACACAGTGGGGATATTAAGTCATATTGCTAGCAATTAAACAAGATGCAATTATGAAATAGAAGAACTCTGTGACTAAGGCAGAACAGTGGTTATATTATCAACTTGACAGCTAATATGCAGTGAGGACTTACAAAATATACTTACAAAGACACAACAGATGAATTAAATGCAGACCTCACTGTATTATGATAACTGCAGAAGGATTAAATTTAGGAATGTATCTATAAAACATAATTCGATAGAGTGAATGACATGATGTAAATAAGATAGCAAATAATAAAAGGGCTCGTCCGGCCCTTAAGAGTCTATAACTTTTTTGGAATCGATTTTTGGTCCTTAAAAGTCCTTAATTTGGGCCAAAATCGACAGAAGGTCCTTAATTTTAATCATCTGAAATTTCTGTATGTTTTTACGACACCCATTTTGAGAGTGAAATAGCATTTTGGAGGAATATTTTTGGCTATTCATTGACAACTATTGTTATTTTTTAATGGGTTCATGGGTTATAATCTATTCCCATTTCTAATATATATGGTGGGATACTCGAGTTTCTGAGCAAGAAGTGAAACATATGCATATCGAAATTATTTCTTTTTTTCTAATGAAGAACTTTTAAACAACTTTTGGATTTTGGGGCTGTGAATTCTTTTATTAAACGGTTTTAAATTTGGCGACTTATCAACATTTTGGCGGTTTTAAGATCAGTTTCTATCGAAAGATCTCGGAATTTTTCGACGATTTTTCTTTAAAACATTGTAACATAGATGAACGTCATTAAAATAATGGTAATATATTAAAATTATATTTAAAAAATGGCATTAAAATAAAACATTTTAATTTTTCTCTCACAAATTATAAAGTGCCACTTATTACACAATATTTTGCATCTTGAAAATAAACAAAACATAATGCTATAAAGCACAATTAACGAAAAAGTTCTAGCAAAGGCAAAATAGGTATGTAATTCATAAAAAATGTTTTCTTTTTAATTTTTTCATGTAAGAGTTTTTTTATGTCATTATCTCAACATGTTGAGAATTCGTAGAATATGCATCAGTTTTCTCTACAAAATTAATTTTACACTTTTTCCTTCTGATTTTTTTTCCAAAATATTTCTGGCTTTTTGCTGTTACAGAATTAGGAGGTGTAATTTGTCTTTGGATTTTAAATATTGCAGATTAGAAAGTTTAGAAGGATTTGAATGCAAGATTTATAGACCCACGATTCTTAACATGTTTATCTACCCTTTATTTTCTCTACTTTTCACTAGACACAAGCATGGAAAATATCAAAAATGCTTCTAATTTATCACATGGACAGGCATTATAGAAAGGAATTTTTTATTAATAAAGAAATTGAAAACTGACAGTTTAAAAGATTAATCTAATATGTTTTAATGCATCATACACTGGTCTGGCGCTAGGCATTTTCTCACCTGTTGCAATCTCTATGGATCCTAAGTCCTGTTACTTAGTGTCTTTCTAAATTCTACTTCCAATGCCTGCTGTAAATTCTAAAAGATTTGCCATTTCTAGATTTTGTTCCTCCGTGTGTCACTAAATTCTAAAAATTCTGCCACACCAGCTCTGTAGCCCTTACCATATATATTTCATATTTCTTCTGAATGTTCATATTACTAATGAAATAAAATTAGCAGCTTTTTCTATACATGCTAAATACATTTAGTTTTTTCAGAATAACAGAAATCTTTAATTAAACCAAAAATTCTAAAATGAAAAGGAAACGTGTTGAAGAAAGAAACTGGACATATAAAGAGAAAGAAAATTATTCTTGAAAGATATTGTACAGTTATTATTATGTAAATTACCCAGTTGTATATAATTTCAGCCTTTACTATGATTTCCCATTTCTATTTCCTCTCCAGAATGTAAATCACTTAAACAGTTTTTGAGGTTTTTGGAGTGTATGACAGACTGTGTTTCTAACCTCCGCTTGCTCGCTACATTTGTTCCTGCCAGCTCTGATAATTTGTAATTGTTCGTCTTTACATTATCGCTGCCGACATTTGAATTTGTTATGGCGATAGAGTAAGTAAGCCAACTTCAAACTGAAATTAAATTGTTCAGTCTTTGACCACTAGTCCACATTTTTAATTTGCATTTGATTCTTCTTGTTTAATTATATCACCACGAACTATAATTGATTTTCTTAGCATAAGAGCATGCCTTTATGTTCTATTTAAATAAAAGGCTTATTTAAACCTTTTTTCTGACTATGTAGTGACTTTCAGACATAGCGATAATTTGCTTCACATATGTCAGGGGTGTTGGACTAATTAACTTTTACCAGATCAAGTAAACCATGTGCATATACATTGTATATATACAATGTGGAGAGGTTGACAAGTTAAGAGGTAAAGCAAGTAGAAACTAGGGAGATCATTGGTTTACGTATTGCGACAAATATCTAATTATTAGAAAAGCTGCTTAAAGAGAAGGATATGGATATAAATTAGCCAAAATGTCTGGGAAGGCTTCAAATTAAAAAGACGCATAAATATTTTGTTGAGTGCTGTAGTTACAAAACATAAATATTTTGTAGCTTTTAATGTGCAATTATTCTAATATCGTTTAAGAATCAATCCCATAAATTACATTTATTTTAAACTGTGAAATTTTATTAGATTGCGATTTTAACAATCATGTAATTTTAATAATAATTATTTTAAACAAATATTTCCAAAAAAATAAATCAAATTTAATACTGGCAATGTAAATCCGTAATGACTAAGGTTATCTAACTACATAATTATTTTATTTGTAACTAACTGCTTACAAAAATTATCTCTTCATTATAAAAAGGCGAGTTATTGCCTTTCATTAATCATTACCATGGTCACGAGATAAAACACAAAAATGTAAAAATTTATGTAAAACTTATTCTTCGCATTTAGTGAGACTTAAAAAATAATACAAAACAACTTATCACCTCTGGTACTTTAGTGGCTTATTGGAAACTTAATGTATATTAACTGGGTTACAATCACTAGAACTCTGCACGAAGCTACGACACTAACTGCGTCGGACCAGCAGAGCACAATTAACTTTCAAAACTTGCCAATCGTGCTGGTGGCTTGGCAAATGCGGTCAAGAGCAGGAGACTGACGTTAATTACGGAAGGGGAAAGTAAACGGCTGTGTCAGGGATCATAAGGGGAGATATATATTTAAAAAAAAAGTGTTTGGCTATTTTATACATTCAAAGGAAAATACAAGTTACTCACTGAACTTCGCACATTAGTCTGAATAACCTTTAAACCCGATGAACAGTACATTTGTGTGACAAGGCGAGCTTTCTGACTGTACAATCTGTTTTACATTTAGCGAGCTTGTGCCGAATAAGTTTATTCGCTATTTTATGTAATTTCTGCAATATTTTGTAATTCTTTTATTTTTATTTTCATTTAAATTTTATTTTTTTAAAGATAATTTCTTTTGATTCACAAATATTTATATTTTCTATTTTTCTAATAAGTGAAGGCCCACCAGCGGCCGAGCGGTAAAGTCACTGAACACTGGTAGTTCGGTCCGAGGTTCGAATCCCGCGAACGGGCTGGCTGCAGGGGCATTTTCGTGGTTTTCCCCATGTGTAACGTGTATACGAGCCAGTTTCTCTTAGAAAGTCCTCCACGAAGGCATCCCTCCCCTTAGGCAGATAGCCCTCGAGGCTTTGCCATAATTACACACACACACACACACACTCTAATAAGTGAAACATTTAATTAGATTCTGATATTTTGTTTTCATAAGATAAAGTACGAAACCTTTGTTAAAATTTTCATAGCTCACTGTAGTTCAGTGACCGTATTTTAATGTGCCATTTAATTCGCGAGTCCATTCATCCGATTTGAAACTTGGAAATGAATTAACAAATCGATCTTTCCATTCAATTGGTCCTATCGACTTGAATACAGTGAGCCTGAGTAAACGGGAAGTATCTTTCGTAAATATAAAAACCATTATAAGCGCATTTCTGAATAATAATTTTAAAATATAATTTTTACAGCTGTTTGACGCTGCTTTCAAAGGATTTCTTAATTATAAATATGAAATATATATACTGAAAATTACGAAGAGGAATAACACATACGTATCTGTTATTACGAGAATAAGTATTGCTAATGAATGCAATAGGGCTTGAAAACTCATTTTGATTCACCTTTCTTTTCTTATGAATGACGAATATCTGTTTGCCATACACGTGATCAAATAGGGAGGGAATAAGTGTTTTAATCCGTAAGATTATAAGTATTGATTAACATTTCATATAACTACTTCTAATTGAGGCTTTCTAAGAGCAACCCCCTTAATTTTGACTCGCAGCTTTTAATTTTAGACTAGGATATGAGCATAGAATCTACCTTTAAACAATGAGATTTTTTT